CAATTTCATACTAAATTTAAAAACTATAATTAGTATTTATTCATATATTATATTTTAAAATCAAAGAACTACTAATCAGGGTATAGTTAAAGAAATAAGAGTTAAAGTTCCTTTTGAAATAATCCACCAATTTCCTACTTAAAAAAAAAAAAATTTCGTTGGGAGTTTTTTTTGCTATTCGCCAAAATTACTGCATCGTTGACTAAAATGAATCATCAAATAGAAAATTTGATGAAAATTAAAACAATGTTATTTTAGCTTCGATGCGAAGCTGAGAAGGTATTAATTTTACTATGATGTGTTTTTTTTTTTTTTTTTTTGTTTATTTTTTTTTTTATTTTTTTTTTTGTGTCTGTGAACGCTCAATCTCAGCTCTCGCTGGACCGATTTTGATGAACAATATGTCAAAAGATCACAAATCGTATCTAGTCGAAGACATTACCCTCAAAAATTGAAAAAAATTCCCTCGTTCCCCGTAAACGGGGGAAATCCCCCAAAAAATTACAAATTTAAAAATCGCTAATTTTCGATATTTTTTCAATTTTTTTTACTTAAAATTGCCATAACTTTTTTAAAAATGATCGAATCAATATAATTTTTTTTTTTATAGATACCTTAGATAATTACCTATCATTTTATATATTTTTGTGAACATTTGACCCTTTAACAGCCCAAAGGATGGGGTTTCAAAATGGTAACTTTTTTACAAAAAATTAACTTTTTCAACTTAACTTTTGATAATGTTCCGGAAAGTCTGACATTTTTATATATATGTTAAATTAAAGATAATATAATATACTTTAATTTGAAAAAAAAAAATTTGACCTCTGGACTTGTCTTCGTGGTGAAAACGGACATCAAAGTTAAAGAAAAACGTACGATTTCCGTGAAAAAAATCTCGATTTTATATGTTATATTATTTAATTTATATTTTATATAACTTTTGGAAAAATGTATGGATCAATATTATTATTTTTTTATAATAAATATTTATATACCCCTTTCATCTGGCACGCTTTTTTTGTAAATCGGATCATACCCCTTTAACAAGGGGGGTCAAA